TCTGATACTAAGATTACAAAAGAACAAACTGATTTTTAACCTGAATCACAAGGCTCCCTACACCTCCGGCGCCATTGAGAACGAGAATCGACTTTCCGGCCGAGAATTCTGTCCTAACCAGACCTTCGTCGGCAGTTTCTATAGCCAACGGAAGCCCAGCGGCTTGAACGAAATCGATGTTTTTAGGTTTTAAGGCTAATAGTTTCTCTTCCACCGCCGTGTACTCCGCTAAAGAACCGAATTGCTTCGGACCTTCTAATGCTTTCTCGCTTACGTCTGCGTAAACTTCGTCTCCTTCTTTGAAATCCTTCACCGTACTTCCTACTTTCACCACTACTCCGGCGACGTCGTATCCCGGAACCGTCTGCTCCGACGAAGATTCAGAATTGTAAGTTCTGAAACGAGATCGTCTTAGGTTTTCAGAGAAATTGAGAGAGAGTTGGGGATTTTACCGGAAGAGGCGAATCGGTGGCTTTGAATTTTCCTTGCCGTCTCTTGGCGTCGACGGGATTAAGAGCCGCCGCAACAACCTTAATCAACACCTCATCTTCTTTAATCTCCGGCACCGCAATGTTGCTCTCCAGCTTCAGAACATCAACTCCTCCGTACTCACCGTACACCCATGCCTTCATCTCTCTTGGAATTGAAGACGCATCCGCCGCGACATTGACCGCCGATGAAGTGCTCTGAGAGCTCGCCGAGATCCTCAACAATGTCCTTCCGGCAGTTAGCACGCCGGATCCGACTCCAACTCTGTTTCCCCGGAAAACTGGAGATGCTCCGAATGAACAATGACGAAGAAGAGGCGTCTCACGGCGGAGTACGGGAGTTGTGGCGGTGATTGTTGCAAGCGTCGCGCTCATTTTCAGTCTGCCACTACTAAGCTTATCTCTTTCAGGTTTCCTCTGCTTTATTCGAATTATAACGTTTCGTGGGTCTCTCTGATTGGTTAGTCATTTTTTGTGGTTGTCGTTTTAAACTTTTAATCAGAAAAATTGTGGCGTTTCTGTGTCCAGACGCTAACGTATTCAAACCTCAGGTAGTTCATTCATCAGTGTTGAACAACTGACACGAAGTTATAACGTTGTTTTGTTTTCCTCAGTCTACATATATGGGCCTAAATTTTAACTGGGCTGAGAATAAAAGCCCATAAAATACAGATCCAGTAGAAACGGTTGCAAAAGTGAGTCCGATCATTCATCTAGGCACGATGGATCCACACAACCGCGCACAACGAAGCACGATGTGGACACGTGGACGGCTAATATTGGGTCAGTGGTCAAGCTTAATAATCGACCGTACGTTTTTCTCACCCCCAAGTACTCAAAAGAGAAAAAACCTTTTTTCCGGGAATTTCATTGAACGTGACGGCTTCGAGTGTATTTTAGAAACGTTAATCAGATCTTTCGTTCAATAATCCGAGAAGGTAAGCTCCGAATAAAACCCTAATTCTCTGATAATTTTGTATGTTCTTATTATCATCTAGATTTTGAATCTCTTTTTCTACTCATACATTGCGGTTCCTAATGTTTTGTCTGGATTCCAAAACTGTCTAATTTGTTCGATTCACTGTTTTGTTCACTATATGTATTGTTTGGATACGATTTTCCCTTTGTTTATGGATTTTTCGTAATAATCTGTTGAAAGTGATCTCATTTACCCCGAAAATGAAACCTTTTTTGTTGTTACGATCATATGGTATGAGTGTGACAAAAAAAAAAAAGAAACTCTGTTTTGTCTTGCCTTGATCGATCTGCCTTGTAAGAAATTTTGTGTCTTATCGAATAATTGAATAAATCTTCCATGCCTAGATCATCTATCTGATATTGCTGAGAACTCACTCATGTTTTTGTCATTTACAGGCTCTTTCTTTCCTTATTGAAAAATGGCAGACACCAAATCCGGTTTGAGAAAACCAGCTTTCACTAAGGTCGATCAGCTGCGTCCTGGGACTAGCGGACACAATGTGACCGTGAAGATCGTTAGCACGAAGATGGTGTTACAGAAAGGTCGTGCAGATGGTGGGCCTCAGTCTCGCCAGATGAGGATTTCTGAATGCATTGTTGGAGACGAGACAGGAGTTGTCGTCTTTACCGCAAGAAATGACCAAGGTACTTGCTTATTTCATTCGAGGAATTATAGAAAAGAAGTATATATAGAAGATCATCTGAGAGACTGACATTGTTTGTGGCTATCATAACAGTCTGTGTTTGTGATCCACAAGCTGGTGAATGATTGGATTGTGACATGTTGTTCTTCATTTGGTTCTGTTTAATTATGTGTGTATGTGTTTGTGTAGTGGACTTGATGAAAGAGGGATCCACTGTAACTCTACGAAATGCGAAAATCGACATGTATAAAGGATCAATGAGGCTAGCTGTAGACAAATGGGGTCGCGTTGAAGTCACAGAGCCTGCGAGCTTCACTGTGAAAGAGGATACCAACATGTCCCTTGTTGAGTATGAGCTTGTCAACGTTGTCGAATGAGTGACACAATCCTCGAATTACTTTTGTTTTCCCGCTAGAGAAACAAGGTCAATAATAAAGAAGTAAATCCGTTAATGTTGGCAGCAAGAAAGAGTTATCCTGCACAAAGCTATGGAAGAGTGATGCCTCTAGAAGTGAATGCAGAGCTTTGGCTTAAGTTGCTTTGCTTGTTATGTCTTTGTGACGCCTTTTGTTTTGCAATGTCATCGTAACAATTAAATGTTGGCAATGTTTAGTGCGTTAAATCCTTTTTTCAAGTTGTTTCTTTATCCTTCCCCGAAACAAAATTTTGATGCAATCTAGAGATGCATTATCGATTCGGTCTAACCCAATCTAATGAGGGTTGGATTAATGAAAAATGAGGTTTAGCCTATACCCAATTTAAAGTTTTCAAATTATGTAGGCCGTAGTTGGTTCGAACTTAGAACTACTTCTTTATATACACATTTGCCTCGACAACATACCAACACTCTCTCTAACTCCCATCGAATGTTTCTCTCTCAACAAAAAATGTTCAAACATTTTGTTTTTCTCCTACTCTTCTTATCGCCTCTCTTACATGTAAGTCATACTTTGAATCCGTTGTTTGATTTTCTCTACAATTGATTCCCTTTATTGGATTTGTTTCTGTTTATCATTTGATGAATTCTTTTTTTTGAACGTAACGCAGGTGTTTATCGCCGGAGAACGGTTAACTAGCGGCGGTTTTTCACCGGAGTCGAATCCTTTCACACCCAAAGCATCATTGGTTCGTTACTGGAACAAAGAGATCCTAAGCCAAACTCCAGGATCATCAGAGTTTCTCCTCTCCAAAGCTTCACCACTCACCGCCGTCGCCTCCGCCGCATTCGCCAAACTCGCCTCCGAAAACTCCCTTCCGAATCGCCTCCCGGACTTCTGCTCCGCCGCAAACCTGTTCTGTTTCCCAGATTTAGGCCCGAGCCTCGAGAGACACAGCAAGAACGTCAAATTCTCCGTTTACGACCAACGAAACTTCACCAACTACGGCACGGTTCGCACCGGCGGAGCCGATTCGTTCAAGAAGTATTCTCAGGACGGAAACGTAGTAACCGACTCTTTCCGGCGGTACAGCCGCGACGGAGCCGGTGACGACGAGAAGTTCAAAGGCTACAATGGTAACAGCAATGTCGTCGAGGAGAATTTCAATTCCTACGGCAAAGCAGCCACCGGCGGCTCCGGCGATTTCAGAAGCTATCAAACCGGAGTCAACAATCCTAGAAGCCGTTTCACGGCGTATTCCGACGGTGGAAACGGCCGGTCTCAGTCGTTCAAGACCTACACTCACGAAGCCAACGCCGGACCGGGTCAGTCCTTTACCAGTTACGGCAAAAACGGTAACGGAGCTCCGAACGAGTTCTCTTCTTACGGCGTCTCCTCCAACGTTATCAGATCGGATTTCTCCAACTACGGCGAGAACGGCAACGCAGCCAACGATACCTTCAAAGGCTACGGTGGCGATGGTAATGTTCCTCAGAATAACTTCAAAAGCTACGGTGCCTCCGGGAACGCCGGAGTTGACACATTCTCGAGTTACAGAGACAAGGCCAACGTCGGCGATGATTCGTTCTCGTCCTACTCCAAGAACTCAAACTCGGAGAAGGTCAGTTTCGTGAATTACGGCAAATCTTTCAATCCCGGGTCGGAATCTTTCAAAGGTTACGGTAAAGGAGCCGAAGGAAACAAGATCGATTTCAAAACGTATACTCAAAACTCAACGTTCAAAGATTACGCCAAAACCGGCGTCGAATTCGCGAAATACAACCAGAGCGGACTCCGTGTTGGTGGTGGTAAAGCCGTGAATAAGTGGGTGGAGCCTGGCAAGTTCTTCAGAGAATCAATGCTTAAAGAAGGTACTTTGATTTTGATGCCTGACATTAAAGATAGAATGCCTAAAAGGTCGTTTTTGCCTCGAAGCATCATTTCGAAATTACCGTTTTCGACTTCGAAAATCGCCGAAATCAAACGTGTTTTCCACGCGAGCGATAATTCCACGATGGAAGGTATAATCTCTGAGGCGATTACTGAATGCGAGAGATCACCAACCATCGGTGAGACGAAACGATGTGTTGGATCGGCGGAAGATATGATCGATTTCGCCACATCGGTGCTTGGTCGAAGAGTGGTACTCCGAACGACTGAGAGTGTCGCGGGATAGAAAGTCATGATCGGAAAAGTTAAAGGAATCAACAGAGGAAAAGTGACGAAATCAGTCTCGTGTCATCAGAGTTTGTACCCTTACTTACTGTATTACTGTCATTCAGTGCCGAAAGTTCGGGTCTACGAATCGGATCTTTTAGACCCCAAGAGTAAAGTCAAGATCAACCATAGTATTGCTATATGTCACATGGACACGTCAGCTTGGGGTGCGAGCCATGGAGCCTTCGTGTCCCTCGGGTCCCGGCCTGGTCGGATCGAGGTTTGCCATTGGATATTTGAGAACGACATGAATTGGGCCATTGCCGATTAATCAAGTGGTAACAAAATTGTAATCTTCAAACAGAGAATGAAATAAGGAATGTTAATTCTTGTGTATCTTTATATTCCAGCAATTATAAAAGCTTGTTACTGATTGTTGTGGA